TAGTTTGCACACCCTTATGAGAATTTTAAACGGTGCCTTTAAAAATTAAAGTGAATTATTACTTAGTGATTACATTGGAATTAACAATTACGAGTAGAGTAGAAAATAATATTGTAAGTAAATAAATTAAAAAAAAAAAAATCAGTAAAAAATAATGAACACTATTATTTTTAGTAAAAAATAAAATGTATTTAGATTTATTCATTTATGCATTATGTACATTGTATAAGATGGTTCAAGCATTTTCTATAAAGGCATGAAGCTAACATTGAAAACAATTGGAATAACTATGACTTGATGTATCAATATGAAAAAGTAATCTTTATTCAAAATTAAAATAGTTTCATATTGGATGTATTTTCAAATATTCTTTTTACTTTTAAAGTGTGTAAATATTTTGTTAAAATAATAAAGATAAAAAGTTTTATTTTAAATCCAAACATAGCATTTAAATATTTAATTTTTTTCTCGAGAAGATTTTATTAATACAAATGTTTTACAAAGAGTCATACTTTATTCATCTACCTATATTTTATATTGATAGTAGGTAATACATAGTTAGACACCTTAGTACCCTTAATATTTATAACTGAGTGATTACAATTTTGTAAAATAATATACTTAGTTAAAGTTTTGTATACAGTATTTTCAAGTATGCAAATTTCAGTAATATTAATTGAGTACCACGAATACTTTCGAGCTGTCGGAATTGAATTTATCAATTGTTGTTTGGTTGTTTCAGTTAAGTTCTTATAATCATTAAGTGTTATCTAGGAGATTCTACATAAAAGTTGGCTGAATAGTTTTCCAAAAATGCGTGTGGTTACAATATAATTCAATTTAGTCTAGAGTAACACTTTCTATATTCCTGTAATAATATACCAATTTTTGATTTTTTTTTTGATTCATAAATAAAATTTAAAAAAATTAGTAATGAATATAAATTAAGCTGAAAAATATGTGTACTATTTTGTAGTTATTCCATATTGTTCTATTAATTATTTTAAATTGTAAAATATTATTTTATAAAATGTACATATCACCCATTTGGTATGTTAAATGATAAAAATAAATGATTATTAGAGGATAATTAAATTAAAACACATGCTATTTAACAAGTCCTTTCTTGAACTTTGTCTTTCGACATTTTTTGAAATCGATACTTTAACCCATTAATTATAAAAATTAATTTTTGATTTTACTCAACATAATATAAACACTTTATGTTTATAAATTGCATGTTCACTAAATATTTGGCACAACGGTGATAATTTTGAATGAATATAGACTATCATACCGTTGAATATACTATAGTATAGTACGACGTGCGAGATTTAACCAATTAAATTTAAACATATTAAATATTTAAAAGTCTAGATTTAATTTAATGTAATCCGTAAATTTATATGAACTTAGTACGCTCCTTTGATATTCATCAAAGTTTGAGGTATTCTTTATTGAGTAGGCACGTATTAAGGACTACGGAATAAAAATAAAAATTAAATAGATGTACATGTAGTATTGTACACTATGTTATATTCGTACAATACTATGTATACTCCATTATGCCGTTGATAATTTATAGTCAATAATCGGTATACTAAATACTGATTAATATAAAATGAAAAAAATTGTATGGTATTGTGAACATTTTAGGTGAGGTTTAAAAAATATTTTAAAAGTTTGTAGGTTATCTTAATATGTTGTAGTATTGTTGAATATTTTATTGAAACTACTTATAAAACTAAGTGTATACCTACTAAGTGCATTCAAGTATTCAATAATATAAATTTACTATTGATCTATATTTTTTTTTACATAATACATTAAATTGCTCAAAACTCTTTACATGTCATCCATAGAAAGTTAAGTAAGGTAGGTAATTAGTTAGTTTCGTGTTCTATTACATCTATAAATATAAAAAATAATTTCTTTACAAAGTCTTATAATTCACATTTACATTCACACACTTGTGTATGTGGGTATACTGTGTATGATGTGAGTATAATAAAATATTTATATTTTAACTTTTACAATGTCGAGTAATATATTCAATTAAACACCTATCAAAATTCAAAGCTTTTATATAAATTATTTTTCATATCTTTAATTAGGTTTAAAGATTTATTTATAATATAGAAATTAAGTACCCATACAGAAAATTACGAGTATAAATTATAAGTATATGATATAATGGGTGCTTAGAATTGGGCCACTATGAACCTTTTTTCAAAAAGGCCACTATTTTAAAGAAGCTCAAGATTTTATTTAAAGTTAGAAAACGAAATTATTTAATATAGTTAGAAAGTATAATACTTTTAATGAAATTAAAAAAAATACGAAGGATAAAAAATCAGATTTGAATTTGTGAAATCTGAACCGTATTATTTAAAAAAGTGGGCAAGTGGGTACCGCTCTGTTGTACATTAGAGGGTGGGATGAATCTCGGACTAGGGTAGATTAAATTTGAATGCAATGATAGGTATCATTGTATACGAAAAACGATTCTGAACGGAGATGATTTGTCAGTCTAGGATATATTATATTTAAATATTGTCATATATTCTATGTTAAAACAAATATTTTATTTTTCAATTAAGACGCATTTGCAAAAGTCATGGTTAATCAAATTTTTCCAAAAACATTGCATGTAGTTATCATAATTCATAATACCTTAATATATTATCATAGATATACCTGGTATACCAAAAGAATGATTGTAGATTTCTTATTACACAAAAAGAAATACCATAATATCACAGAATAATATAATATATTTAGTTCGTATTGGCGGCGGCGCCTCGGTGGCGGAACTAAGGGGGGGGAATCCGGGGATTGATCCCCGGGCGTAAAATTTTGGTGGGCGTAATTTTTTTGTGGGCCTTTATTTAATGTTTATTGTTAGAAGTTATAAAACTATTTTTATTTCTCATAATTTGTTTATTATATAATAATAGCCACATTTAAAAGAATGAAAAACATTAAATAAAATCATACACAGCGTAAAATAATCATCATTCTATTATTAATTATTATTTATTAAAGCACGTATAGCTGCGCAATCGGCGTACGTCGACGGCACATATTACATATAAAGACAGACAAATAATAAAAATTAAATATAAACATATATTTTAAATAATAAGTATGAACGTTATCGACTATCGTCGACGAACAACGACGACACTGACAAAAATAGCACAAAATTAATTTCCAGTGATAAATGCATTATTCTGTCATTTTTTATTTATATTTTGTATGTAATTTTACTGTGTTGTCGTTTTTGTGCATATTTTTTAATATTGTAATATTATATTAATAATCCGGATTCGTCATTTTGGTCATCGATCTAGAGATTTAGACATCTATTTAACGGTAAGATTATGAATAGATCATATAAGTACTCGTATACGTGCACTGGTATATAGGTTCTATAATTATTAAGATTCTGAGTTAAACTAGGTGCATGTATTGATATTTTATGCTGTGTTTACATTAAAATTACTTATGCCTACACAATAACTTTTATAGGCGTATCAAACAACGTACGATATATTATATCTGTAGGTATATTAAAAATTATGTTAATATTGTATAATATTATGCATTATAATATTTACCAAGATGTTTATACATTTGTTTATGTTTAAAAAAAAATATTTGGTTTTCAATGTTTTGTTTTTGTTTTTACTTTTATAAATTATTTAATTTAATTTAATTTTTTATTGGTCTTAATTGTGTACCTTTATCAAAATAAGAGATTTTATATTTCATCAAAAGGTCTATTATAATTGAGGCGTATAGAACTAAAACAACAAAAGCATTTTTATACAAAACAGTCAATAATTAAAATTTGATTATTTTCAAAATATTTTTTCTTATAAAATCTACTCTATGGACAATAATAAACTCATTTTTTATATACTAATCATACATCTTTTTTTAACAGCATTAATTTTTTTTTCTATGTAAGAATTATTTGAATGAACAATTTAAAAATTTGTATTATTTTAAATTTGATTTTTCTTGTCTATATTTAAAAGTAAAATACTTTTCATTAAAAATCAATGTTATAATATGTTGTATAGCAGGGGTCGGCAATTAAATTATATGGAGGTCCAAAAAATCAAAAAAAAAAAAAAAATTTCGAGGGCCAGTAAAAACTAACAACTTAGATATTAGCAAATAATTGTTGTGTTGTCGCAACTATTATTGTAAATAGCAATAAACGATAAACACCATCGTAATCTCTAAATACATCATAAAATAGATAAAATATAATATATTATGTGTGGAAAACCAGCATTATTAAAAAATATATTTTTTGTGGTCCAATTATTTTTTTTTCGCGGGCCACCTATTGCCAACCACTGGTGTATAGATTCAGTGTTGTAAAGAATACTTTTAAAAAGTATTTTTGAGTAAATACTTAACATTTTTTTTTAAATATTTAAAATATTAATCAAATAATTTTACTGTAAAATATTCTTAATACTCTTGGTTTTATTTTGTAGGTTTGTAATTAACTTAACATAGTATATTATTAGGTATGTAATATATTATATTAATGAGTTTATTTATTAAATTATATCCAAGGTTATTGCTGATAATATTAGTTTTTTGCTTGTTATATTTTCTCCATCTATACTCAACTGAAACACAATTGTAATGACTAGTGGAAAACAATGTTTTTCCATCCAATTTTGAAGAACTTTTGTTAAATAAAACGGAAAATCATTTGTGGTTTAAGCTGTATTTTGGTACTATATGCTTCTTATTGTAGTACAGAATATAACTAAATATTACCTCAATTCATAAATGTTATTAATTATTCAATATTTCATAATTTTTACATATATTACAGCAGTCAATATAGTATTAATTTAACAATTTACAATTATCAATGATACTACATACTGTTCATACAAATATATTTTTCGTTTCATTCAGAATCTAAAACTGATTTTTATTAAAAAATATTTTTAAATTTAAGAACGAAAATGTCAAAGCGACCTCCAGGTTCGTTTTTTCGTGATAGGAAGAAGAAGATAGAAGCTGAAAAGTTAGAATTAGCAAAACAGTGGGAAAAAAACGCGGAAAAACTGGTTAAAATGTGAAGTTGTGGAAAAGACTGACAATTCTTTAGATGTTGAGGTCAATAAAGTAAACATTGAACAAAAGGAAAATTAAATAAATCTTAAGTCTGACGGTTCTTTAGATGTTGATGGCAACGAAATAAATATTGAACAAAATGAAAAAGAAATAAATAAGAATACTTTTGAAGTATCTTTAGAATCTCAAAATAAGTATGAACATTTTAAAGTCACTAATTTTTCTGAAATTTTGTTTGACAATCCTCGTTCTTGGTATCCTATTAACGATAAACTGCGTAGTATACTTATTCTTCATGGACCAAATCGTGGGATAACAGCACCTAAACCATTCAAAAATCATTGGTTTTTAAAACAAATGAATAACGGTGAAAAGTGTGATAGAACATGGATGATATATTCTGAACCCAATGAAACTATTTTTTGTTTTTGTTGTATTTTATTTGGAACCAAATCAAGTGCCTTAATAGATCCTAAACAAGGTTTTACAAACTGGAAAAAAATGGAACGTTTAAGGGAACATGAAAATTCTTCAGACCACGTTAAAAATTTCCTCGAATGGAAAATTTTTGAAAAAAAATTAAAAAATGGTGGAGCTATTGATGACTGTTTACAAAATTAAATTAAATCACAAGAAGCAAAATGGAGACACATTTTAAAAGCAATTTTGAATGCAATATTGTACTGTGCCAACAACAATTTAGGATTGAGGGGACATTCAGACATACCTGGGAGTCCATCCGCAGGTCATTTTCTTAATTTGTTAAGTTTAATAAGTAAATATGATCTTATATTAAAAGAACACACTGAATCACATAAAAAAAGTTCTATAAATTACTTTTCTCATCAAATTCAAGATGAGTTTATAGCTTTATTGTCTAAAAGAGTTCGAAATGAAATCATACATCAAATTAAATCTGCTAAATATTATACAATAATGTTTGATTACAAGCCAGATGTGTCAAGAACAGAGCAAATGAGTCAAGTTATTAGATACGTTCGTGTCACTGGTAGTAAAGTAATTGTAGAAGAAAGTTTCTTAGGCTTTATAGAATCTCATGAAAAAACTGGTAGTGGTTTGACTACTGAAATATTACATCAGATATCTCAAGATGGTTTGGATATTAATAATTGTAGGGGCCAAGCATATGACAACGGATCAAATATGGCAGGGAAGGGTTCAAGCAAAAATTTTAGAAAAAAATAACTTAGCAACATTAATACCTTGTACGGCACATTGTTTAAATTTAGCAGGTGTAAATGCTGTAGGATCAAATAAACAAATGCAACTATTGTTCGGTAAAATTCAACAACTATTTAATTTTTTTTTCTGGTTCTACTTTACGTTGGGAAATATTGATGAAATCATTGAAAGTAACTCTTAAACCATTTTCCGATACTAGATGGTCCTCTAAAGCTGCTGCAGTTAAGGCCCTTTACAAACAATTACCTGAAGTGAAATGTGCTTTGATTAATATTATTGAAAATGGAAACCTTGATTCAAAACATATTGCGAAAAATTTACTTAATTTAGTGGATCACGAATTTATTTGCTTATTAACGGTTTGGAATTCTATACTTTAAAGTATTGATTGTGTAAATATATTTCTTCAAAAAAAAAAAAAACAATTACGGTATGTCAAGCATCAAAAATGATTCATGGATTAATTAAAGAAATAACTGACTTAAGAAATAATAGAATTCAAATATTATTCCAAGACGCTGAACAAATTAGTATAAAAATGAATATTTCTCCTTCGTTTCCAGAAAAAAGGAAAAAAAGAGCAAAAAAAATGGATATTGATGAATCTGCTGATGAATGGGACATTTCTGCTAAAAACAATTGCATAATTAATTTGAAAAATGTCTGTGATGTTTTGCTTACACACTTCGGTTGGAGATTTGAAACATTAAATAATGTATCTTCAGATTTTAGTTTTTTGACTGGATCTGAACTATTCGAAAAAGATACAGATGAATTAGTCAAAGCAGCAGCTGGTTTAGCCTTAAAATATAATAAAGACTTAAATGTTTCAGAATTAACAGAAGAAATAATACATTTTAAACATCATGCCATAAGTGCATTACCTAGTATCAAAAATACATCACCATTAGAACTGTTAGAGTTTATTTTTGAGTATTCCATGACAAATATTTTTTCAAATATTTGCATAGCACTTCGACTTTATTTAACATTGCCATGTACAACAGCCACGTGTGAACGAAGTTTCAGCAAACTGAAACTAATAAAAACGTATTTACGCTCCACAATAAATCAAACAAAACTAACTAATCTTGCATTATTGTCTATTGAAAAAGAAATATCAAACTCAATTGATTTCGATTCAGTTATAAACGACTTCGCTGAGGTAAAAGCCAGAAAAATTAAATTTTAAATTTTTTTAAGTATGTAAAGATTGTGTATTGAAATTAATTATTTGTACATGAACAATTTTTTAAATTAAAAGGTTCTTTCATTGAATTAAACAAGTTTATTATTAATATATTTAATAGTTAGCAAATAGCAATGTAAAAATCAGAATAACTTTTATTTAGTTTAATTATTGTAACATAAGCAATAACATGATTCTATGAGTAAGAACTAGCTTGATATTTTTAACTTTGTTAGTTAACATTAATATGTGTTTAAAAGTTAATAAGAATGTAGTACGTTTGTAATTTGAATTCCAGTTATTAGAAAACAATCGTAGGGAAAGATATTTTAGTCTTGGTCTATGATTGGGCGTAATTTTAATATTTT